ACAAGAAAGACATTGAGATTTTGGAAAGGGTCCAGAGGAGGGCAACTAAGATGATCAGGGGGCTGGAGCACCTCCCCTATGAGGACAGGCTGAGGGAGTTGGGCTTGTTCAGCCTGGAGAAGAGAAGGCTGCAGGGCGACCTCATTGCAGCCTATCAATACCTGAAGGGAACCTACACCCGAGAGGGGAGTAAACTCTTCAAAAGGGCTGACAACAGCAGGACTAGGGGAAATGGATCCAAGTTGAAGGAGGGAAGATTTAGGTTGGATGTTAGGGGGAAGTTCTTTACTAGGAGAGTGGTTAGGCCCTGGAACGGGCTGCCCAGGGAGGTTGTGGATGCCCCGTCCTTGGACGTGTTTAAGGCCAGGTTGGACGGGGTCCTGGGCAACCTGATCTGAATGTGTATGTTTGGTGGCCCTGCTAGGCAGGGGGGTTGGAACTACATGATCCTTGAGGTCCCTTCCAACCCGGGTGATTCTGTGATTCTGTCATCGTCTGTCATCATGTTCCACTGTGTTCTGAAGATCAATGTAATTGAGCAGTCAGGTCCCAAAAATGCATTTCGTTTAAAAACAAATGCTCTGTTCTTGGATCAAGGATTTCTGTGTTACAGTTCTACTTAACTAGGCTGTGGACAGCTGATGAAAAAGAAAAAAAAAAAAAGAAAAACATAAGCAGTGGAAGCAGGGATGGGTTGCCTGGGAAGAATATAGGGATGCTGTCCAGATATGCAGGGCTAGGATCATGAAAGTCAAGGCGCAGATGGAATGAAACTTGATGAGGGATGTGAAAAACAACAAGAAGGGTTTCTTTAGATACGTTTGGCAGAGCAGACAGGCAAAGGAGAGTGCACTCCTCCTGTTAAACGAAAAGGCAGAGCTGGTCTCCTCAGACATGGACGAGGCTGAGTGCTTAATGAGTTCTTTGCCCCTGTCTTCATGAACATTCAGGCTTCCTACATCTCTCTCATGTCCCTGAACTTCTAAGCGGGGGTGGGATGAGCAAAATCCCTGCCAGTGTAAGAGCAGAGCTGAATATGTGCAAGTATGAATATGGAGCTGAACAATACGAACCCTAGTGTTCTAAGGAGCTGCCTGATGTACCTGCCAAGCCTCACTCCATCACATCTGAAAAATCATGGCTGTCAGGCAAAGTCCCTGCTGAGTGGAAAAAGGAAAGCATCACTCCCATTTCTAAGAAAGGGAGAAAAAGGAAGAGCCAGGGAACTACAGGCCGGTGAGCCTCACCTCTGTGCCTGGGAAGATCTTGGAGCAGAAGCTATGTTAAGGCACATGCAAGATAAGGAGGTGATCTGAGAGCCAGCATAGCTTCACCAATGGCAGATCGTGCCTGACGAATCTGGTGGCCTTCTATGATGAAGTGATGCCACCAGCAGACAGAGGAAAGGCAACTGGAATCGTGCAAGGCTTTTGACATGGCCCCACACCACATCCTTAACTCTAAATTGGAGAGGGATGGATTTGAAGGCTGGATTATTAGGTGGACAAATAAATGGTTGGATGGTCACAGCCGGGGGCTGTTGTCAATGGATTTGTGTCCAGGAGGAAGGCGGTCACAAGTGGTGACCCCCAGTGCTCTTCAGCATGTTTATCAATGGCACAGACAGCCGGATTGATTGTACCTTCAGCAAGTTTGCTGATGACACCAAGCTGGGTGGTAGGACTTGGGGGTCCCGATGAACAAAAAGCTGGAGGGACAACACTATCCTGGGCTACGTCAACAGAGCGGTGGCAGGCAGGGACAAGGAGGTGACTGTCCCTCTCTACTCTGCCCTTGTGAGGCACCATCTGGAGCACTGCATTTAGGCCTGGGGCTTTCTTCTTTTCATCTTCTCTCCTGCCCTCCCTCCCTTTCTTCTTCCCCCTCTCCCTCCCTTCCTCCCTTCCTTCTGTTTCCCAAAGTGTGTGTTAGTAAGTCAAGGAAAAGATAATTCAGAGAAGTTCCACATCATGTGTTTTAAAAAATATGAAACTAAGTCTCTTTGTGGTTTCATGATTTATGAATGCCAGTAACTATCCCAGTTTAATCTGAATCCTACTGTTCTGAAGATAAAACTCACTGTTACACATTAAATTAGACTGCAGATCACATAACTGCCTGAACCACGTGAATCACTAGCAAATATGGATAATGAAATGGAGAACTGGCACAGGAGGAATGAAAGAACATGGATACACATAAACAAAAACGCTCCTCCAAAGCATTTGAAAAAATGCTGATCAGATAATTTTCATACCAGGAACCCAAGGTGCTTGACTACCAGACTAAAGGAAAACTTGCAATACAAAGCATAGAAATTAAGACAAGAGCATTTTCCACATGCTTGCAACATTCCCTGCTATCTGAATGAGCCAACGAGAAGAAGGATTTTGCTGGGCCTTATTCTTACTAAGAAGGAAGGGCTGGCTGGGGATATGAAGGTTGGGGGCAACGTGAGATGCAGCAATCACGAGATGATGGAGTTCAGGATCTTGTGTGGAAGAAGCAAAGCAGCATGTAGGACTGCCAACCCTGACCTCTTCCAGGATGTGCGTGGAGGTGTCCCATGGGGTGAGCGTTGGAAAGCAAGGAGGCCTGAGGGAGCTGCTCAGCCCTCAAACACAACTTCTTCCAAGCTCAGGATTGGTGCACAGCTAAGAGTGAAAAATTGGGGAAAGTTGGCAGAAGGCCTGAATGGATGAGCAAGGAGCTCATGGATAAACTCAAAGGTGAGAAGAAAGTCTATAAAATGTGGAAAAAGGGCCTGTCTGGTTAGGAGGAATACAGGAATGTTGTTAGAGCCTGTAGGGATGCAATGAGGAAGGCCAAGGCCCACTTGGAATCAAATTTGGCAAAGGAAGTCAAGGATAACAAGCAAGCAAGGTGTTTTTAAGTATGTCAGCAGTAAAAGGAAGACTAAGGAAAATGTGAGTCCATTACTGAATGAGGTAGAGGCCCTGGCAAGAAGGGATGCTGGCAAGGTGAAGATACAGAATGCCTTCTTTGCTTCTAGCTTTACTAATCAGACTGCCCCTCAGGAAGCTCAGACCCTGGACATAAGAGAGCCTGGGGAATGGAAGCCTTCCCCTTAGTTGAGAAGGATATGATTAGAGAGTGTCTGGCCAAAACCAACTCACACAGATCCATGGGCCCTGATGGGATGCACCCACGTGTGCTGAGGGAGCTGGCAGAAATGACCGCTGAGCCACTCTCTTTTATCTTTCAGAGGTCCTGGAGAACAGGAGAGATGCCTGAAGACTGGAGGATAGTCAGTATCACACCAGTCTTCAAACAAGGCAAGAAGGAGGATCTGGAAAACCACAGGCCAGTCAGCCTCACTTCTGTCCTTGGAAAGCTTGTTCTGGATGCTATCTCCAAGCAATTGGAAGAGAAGTGTTGATGAAGGGAGAACAGTGGATGCTGTGTACCTTGACTTCAGCAAGGCATCTGACACGGTCTCCCACAGCATTCTTGTTATGATACTTAGAAATTGTGGGATATATGAGTGGACAAGGAGGTGCATTGAGACTTATCCCACCATGGTTAAAAGGGACATCCATCCGTGCACAGCCCAACCTCTCCTTTGAATCAGGGCTATCAAAAATACAAGGCCAGGTCTGCATTGAAACCTTGCAAGGTAGGAGCTCAGCCCATGCGAGTAGCTTTTCCTAGCGCTGCACTGCTCTCCTGATGGAGAATGTTTCCTGAAGTCCACTCTGAATGTGTCGAGCTGTAATTGTGGAAATCGTTCTTACTCTGTTGTCTGCCACTACAAAGAAGCATTTGGCTCCATCGTGTTTATCTGCTCTTCAGATAGCAGCACTGTGCAGTTAGAAAGCCTTACCCTACCCCAGATTGAGGAGTGGCTGACAGCACAGCTCTGCGATTAACGCTCTGAGCTCTGCCTGTCAGCCAGTGGAAAGGCAAAAGATTAACAGAACCTGTAGCATCTCCTGTATGAGGAAAGATTGAGGGACTTTGAACTCTTCAGTATGGAAAAGAGAAGGCTGAGAGGGGATCTCATAGCTGTTTGTAAGCATAAGAATGAGAACATTCCTGCATCCTTCCTCTGGACTGGGATTGCACTGTTCATCAACTCCTGCAATTGTACTGCAGCCTGGCTTCTCTGAAATGAGAGATAATTAAAACCTTCCCTGGTACTGCTTTCTCCACTCAGAATAGAAAGTGCCTCTCTCTCCATTACAAAAACCATTCCCAGCCCAGAACAAAGGCCAGAAGTTTTTGGTAAGTAGAGATCTCACCACAAGAAAGCAGGGCCCAGCATAATTTATATTGCTTCCTCCTTGCCATCTATGTGTGGGGCCCCAGTGTGATGACATCCTGGCTCAGATGCTATAAACAAGGCCATATTAATGGATCATAAACTCCTTGGAGGCTGGCTGGATGTCTGTATTAGGTTATGAGTTCCTGAAAGCAGAGATAACAACAAGGTGAATCTGAGAATGGAAAGTTGGAGAAACGGAAGTTAAGACACTGGAGAAATACCTCCCCTTTGCTAGTCCTGTTTATCTGAGCCTCTTACAAAGAAGTTGGTGAATGTGATTCTGGTTTTAGCATCACGTGGATGAGGAGATCTGGGCTAAGCAGCACAATGTCAGATTGCAAATATGCCATTATAATGCTGCTGCTCCCTGGAACATCAAGCAGCGTAAGAAGTAGCCACCTGCAAGAGAAGGCATAATGCATCAAGGACTATGAGAAAATTGGCTTAGAGTCCAAGTCCAGATTGCAATTCATTTTCTGATAGCCCTTTGGTAGATTCATTCTGGATAACTTTACAACCATGTTAAAACTAAAGAGTTTGCCTTTATTCTGACTATAGGGGACACCTCAAACCAGAACTCCTTACTACTTACAATCATAGAATCTCAAGGTTGGAAGGGACTACAGGATCATCCAGTCCAACCATCCTCCCACCACCTCTGCTGCCCCCAGCACCAAACCACATCTCGCAGCTCCTCATCCAGGAGCCCCTTGAGCACTGCCAGGGACGGCGACTGCACCACCTCCCTGTGCAGCCACTGCAGTCAGCACGGCTTTCAGTGCTTATCCCAGTGCCCTGCCGTGATGCCAGCAATCACTGTACTACTGAAATACACCTATGTAGCACCAATCCTTTTCTGTTTGCAGTACTGCCGCCTTTATGTCCTCTTCAAAATAGATTTTGGTTTAACTATGTGATAAAACTGAGAACTCATGATTCATTGCCCATCCAATGTAATCAATCCTTTAATTTCTGCTTTCCAGGACACAGCCATTAGCCAGTAACCACAAACTGCTCTGTGGGACTCTCATGGAAACAACAGCCCTCCTGGATGACAATTATCCATTGTTACATACAGCAAGAGATTTTAAACCAAAAGTTTATGAATTACTGCCCAGTGTTTATCCAGCTCTTCATGCACTACTGCCAAATGCTTTATAAAAATCCCTTATCCATTTCTGAGGTGCCAAAATTCCTTTTTTTCACACACTCTACCTTGGAGATACAAAATTTGATCTTTTCACCACTCTACTGATGGAGAATTGAGACACACATTTGAGGAGCAAACAATATAACAGTCAGATTTTGAAGGTCTTTAAGTCACTGAAGAAACTATGAAACAGACCATGTTTAATTACTGCATTTGGAGAGAAGCACAGGGCAGAGTCCTTCTATCTAGTGCACAGAGGGAGCTTGGAGATGCTTAGGGCTGTAGGTTAAAGTGGCTAGAGGAACATGCATCAGGACCTTAAAGAGAGCCAGAAGCTTCCCTAATCGTAAGCTACAGAATCCAATATTGCTCATTTGTCTTTGAAAAACCCAACACTAGACAATACGTGAGTCTGAGCTGTTGAGAGAAAGCAAACTGAGAAGATGTGATAAGGTCTTTGAATAACACCAGCATAAGTGGAATGCAGCATAAAATGATGTAATTGCAGTATCAGAGTTTCGTGGGTGTTCATTCATGAAATGCCAAGTGCATCGCTGAATGTAAGTACATCTATGTTCAGTAATGTGTTACTTAAAATGAGAAAAAGCACCAGCTTTTTTTTTCCTTAGTACAGGGACTCTAATGGAGCTGAGGAGCGCTTCCCACCAAGGAGATGGATGCCAGGGTGGGGGTCAGTATCACTTGATCTGAAGTAGAAAAGCATCTTCCTGCAAGACTTCATTGCAGGCATTTTCCAGACAGCTCAGGTATTTTTAAAGAAAGACATGACCATAGCTCTGCCTAAATCAAGCTTCTGTCCTTCAACACAGAATTGACAACATAACTTCATGAAGTTGTGATCTATTAGAAAGGAGATTTTAAAAGACCACAGTACTGCAAGGAATAAAACAGGTAAGCAAATCTCATACAATCATATTTCCACTGGTATTATAAATAGACTTCTTATTATCTTGCTCAGCAATGTACAGTGCTTGTAGAGTTAATGACAATCTTCACTCCCTCTCACAGTGTGCAACAACAACCCTTCCCATTTTGCCTAGAGCTGATACTATACGAAGTGTCCAAGAATTTCACAAAACATGCCATTTTCATTTATCACCGTCAGCTGTAGGTAATTCCTCACGATCCTTTGGTCCAAGATCTCTGCAAAACAAAAACAAAAGACAACAAAACCCCATCTCAGTATTGATTGCCCTCACATCTCCTCAGTCTGTTCTTTGCACCCTCCTTGATTCATAAACCTAAATCCATTACAATGCTGCTGCAAATATTCTTTCTCCAGGTTGGTATGTTAGCTATATCCTCACCTCATCTCTACTGCACAGTTTCTATAATGCAACAAAGCACGCCACATCTTCTACCTTTTCAAATCCCTTACAATGGTTTCCTGTGCTTTTTAATTTTTGTTACAAACCACAGGGTAATTACCTATTTCTTCTCTTCTATCATCAGTGGAATCAACATCTTTTGGAATCTTCCAAAATTCTTTCTGTCATTCTTTTTGAAAAAGAGGAGAAAAGATTCCACTGAGCATCGAAGAGACATTGGAACAGGTTGCCCAGAGAGGCTGCCTCCTTCTTGGAGGCATTCAAGGCCAGGCTGGATCACAGAATCATGGAATGGCTGGGGTTGGAAGGGAGCTTAAGGATCACGAAGCTCCAACCCCCCACCAATGCAGGGCCACCAACCTCCCCATCTCACAGCAGCCCAGGCTGCCCAGGGCCCCATCCAACCTGGCCTCCAACACCTCCAGGGATGGGGCTTTGAGCAACCTGGTCTTGTGACAGGTATCCCTACCTAGAGCAGGGGGTTGGAACTAAGTGATCTTAAAGGTCTCTTTCAACCCAAACCATCCTATGATTCCTTGACAGTGTATTATTTTGGCTTACAATATATTGGATTATTGTTTTTTTCAGGTTCTTAAAAGTGACTGGTTCCTGTGATTCTAAGTTGTTTTGTCAATCACTGCCTTTGATGACATAGCTGTCTTTTGTAAAGTATTTAGGATGCACACTCAGGAATTGCATGTGTGTAGAGGACTTAGAGGTCATGCTGCTTATCTCCACATTTTGCCGTATCGGCCTTAGCTTGACAAGGCTTTGCCTTGTAACAGAGGCCTCTGTGGTAATACTGATGTATTGAGATCTGAGATTGGTATCATCTGTTCTCCAGGATTTTGCCACATTATCCTAGATCAGCAGATGAGTCCAGTCGTCGTCTCTTGCAGTATTTGAGAGCAACAAGACAAATAGGTAATGAAAGAAAAAGGTACCAATATCATTAATGTACAGCCCTACTGCTCTGCACCATGCACATATGTCACCTTTATATCATTCACAGAGCTTTTTCCCAGATGGAAGCTGATAGAGAAACTGTGATGCAGCTGATAACCTTCAGCACACATCCAGGTGATCAGAACAGCAAGAAAGATAAGGGAAAATGCTTCGCTGTTCAGCCCATGTCAAAGCCCCAACATCTTTGGTCCACCTTGAACTGAAGGCAGACTCTGACGCTGGGCACAGTGCAGCCTCCTGTGGGAGGACAGCACCACTCAGTGAACCTTCGGGGGATTCTGGCGTCCCACTCCTCCATGCTGAGCAGCCTGGCTGCTCGCTCCGGAGCACTCCCTGTTTCTCATCGGGGTTCTCTGCCGTCATCTCTGAGGTCAGGAAGAAAGACCACGCCTCGCCTGCTCCTAAACAAAAGACTATAGATAGCTGTGGCAGCAAATGCTTCTCATTATGTACTCCTCTCTCCTCAGACTGCCTGCCCAGTTGGGGGTGGGAGCAGCATGGGGCCCTGAGATGCCTGTGCTGCTCTGCTGTGTGTTTTCTGTTATGTGGGGTGAGGAGTGCATTCCTCACAGGCTTTGAATGTCTGCAAAACCCCAGAGGAATCCTCGGAGCAGTGGGAGGAGAGATCGGGCACGGAGAAGTTACCCATGCACATCGGGATAAGGCGTCCCCCTGCTGCATCGGCCTGCAAAGGCATCCAAACCTGACGGAAGTGCAAGTGCTAGGGCAGCACGCCCTCTCAGCGTGCATTTAAAAGCCTCACTCTTCCCACCAACACAGCTTGTTTGGCTAGGCTTAGTCTGGCAAAACAGATCAAGCAGTGATAAACCTGTCTGCTTGTGCACTTAGAGTCAGTGCAGGATAGGTAAAGGAATCATTTCAGATTAAGACTGATTGTGAACCAAGAACAGATAGATATAAACTGGCTATTATTGCATTCAACAAGAATTCTGCTAGCTATTACAGCTATCAGGCTTTAAAACATCTTTTCAGAGTAAGAAAGACACAGGAGCAAAAATTCCAGCGTCTGATAAAATTGAGTGATTACGGGATTTCATACCTATGGCAGCTTGAGTTTGGACGTGGAGGCCCAAGAATTACTGGCACCACATTCTTTTCCCGCATCACAGAACTCCAATATAGAGCCTCTCCTCATGGAGTATGCATGCAGGGCCTTGTACCAAGGACAGGAAACTAACCTCCCAGTCCCACTCCCTCTCAGCTTTATGTGTCTGATGCCTAGTTCATGTTTCAGTGTCTCTGACAGAGCTTGCACAGAAGATTGTTATGGATATAGAAACATGGAACTGGAAAAATCTTCCTGGGACAGCTGGATGCAGTGTTGAGTGGCCATTCCCCAGCTTGCTGCCAAGCATTTTTTTTTTCATCATCGTTCTCAGGATGCTTGTAGAATTGGGAACGTTGCAGGACCTGAAGTATCAGCAGGATGGGACAGCACAGCCCGTGAGCCTTAACTGCAGTGCAATCCAAACATCATCTCCACACTGCAGAGATGGGACAATCAACAAAATAATGGGCAGTTCGCAAAAGAGAGCCCTGGAGGGAAGTCTTGATATCCCTGGAGAAAGTGCATACATCCAGAATATAAACAGAACTACTGACCTGCATCCTGCCCTGTAACCACATATATGAGCCACTCCAAATCCGCCGGGAATAGCCTAAAAGGCAGCTCTACTAAAGTGCACCTCTGAAAAAAGAAATCTGTACTGCTACTGATGAAATGCTAGCAGTAGTAGCAGTAGTAGGTCGAGGAGTGAGCTGCATGGATCCCAGTTAGAAATACGCATGCTGACCGTTCTCTGCAGAAGTGACATTTTGTGATTCCAGCTGATGCAATGCACAACATAATACTGTGCAGACCACAAGATACGTAGAGACAATGAGCACAGAGGCAAGCATAGTCCTGGTGACACCTTGCTACGGCCAGGCCAGCACGGCTCTTCTACAACTCGCAGTGCAAACCCTAAGGAGAAACAGCAGGAACATCCACCTGCTCTGCAACAGGCCGTGCCCTGCCCGTTTCTCGGTCACACCGCAGGCTGCGAGCGCTCACAAAGCCACGGGCAGCGCCCGCGTCAGTTCTGCTCAAGAGCGCGCGGAGCTCCGCGCCCCCGGGCAGCTCAGCAGCTCGGCGGGGAGCTCAGGCCCGCAAGGCGCTCAGCGCCGCGCTGCCGCACCCCAGCACCCCCCGGGGAGCTCCGCACGGCCGCAGCGCCGCACGCATCCTCCGGGCAGCTCCGCGCTCCTCCCGCGTCCCTCCGCTTACCGCGAAGAGGCTGCCCGTTGCCACGGCCGCGAGCCTCCGGCCCTCCCTCGCTGCCGGGCTCAGGTACGGGAGCGCGCTCCCGGGTCCGCCGAGCGCCGCGGCAGCAGCGAGGGGCGGCGGGACGGCCGCGCCCGCAGACGGGGACGCCGCGGGGCCGAGCGGGCGCCGCACGCGGATTGCCCGGAGGCGGTGCTGCCGGGACGAGGCGGGGCGGGGCGGGGCGGGCCGCCAGGGGGCGCTACGTAGCGTCCGCAGAGCCTACGTCACTGCGCGTGAGCGACGCATCTCTGCGCGCGGCATGGAGGGAGGGCGGCCGAGCGCGGGCGTGAGTGAGCGCCGACTGCGGAGCGGGGCGGTTCTGCTCGGGAGGAGTCCGGCCGGGCTCTCGGGGCGGCAGGGAGAGGCGGCGCCGCGAAGGAGGCTCGGCCGCTCCGGCGGGAGCTGTGCCGTAAGGCAGCCGGGCTGCGGCGCGGCGGCGCCCGGTTCGTCACGCGGTTTGTCGTCCCGCAGGTGCGGGGCACGGGCGGCAGCAGCGCCGTCAGCAAATGCTCAGCGGCGGAGCGGGGATACGTGCGGGACCGCTTCGTGCGGCTCCTCGCGGGCCGGCCGCGGAGGAGAACTGCGCTCATCCACCGGTAGGAATGCGCGGTGCGGCTCGGGGCGAGGCGGCGGACGGGAGCGGCGAGCAGCGCCTGCCGCTCCGCGCTGTGCGTGAGCGCGGCTGTGCGGGGCGTTCAAACGCGGGCGCTTACAGTGCGTACCCGCGGTGAGCCTTGGTTAACGTGAGGCGGCTCGATATGACAGTGACTGCGAACTGCCGAAGGAGTTTCGTGTAGGTAACATAAATGTCAGGAGCTGGCAGGCCTGTGAGGGCAAACGCTGCTAATCGCATCTGAAAGTGCATCTGTGTCGAGGTGTCTGCTCACGTGGCGTCGGTGTGCCAAACTAAATTCATGCCAGGAGCTACATGTTACTGTTGTTAATGCTGTCTTCCCAAATCCTTGGGTTTCTTTTAAAATGTTTCTGTGAGGTCTGGGGGTGGGGATAATGAGCGCCTGCTGGGGGAGTTGACAGGGAGAGGAACGGCTGGTGGGAACACCGTGAAACTGAGTAAAACTGGTTTCCTGAGCACTGAGGAAACGGAGGCAGCAGCCAGGTGGATGCTGAATGCTTTCCAGGAATTCAGTTTTCTTGGTTTTCATCACACAGAAAAAAGAAAACCAACACAGAGAATGAAACTCCTTTCAGTTTTCATTTTTGCTCCCCGTTAATGCTCTTGCACACGCAGCTTTCATTTTGTTATACCCAATAACTGCTGGTTGAGCACATCACCTTGTGTATAAAGGAGTTAATTTCATATTGTCACACCATCTGATTTGGGGCAGGAAGTGAGATCACAGAATGATCCAGGTTGAAAGGACCCCAAGGATCATGAAGCTCCAGTTCCCCTGCCACAGGCAGGGCCACCAACCTCCCCATTTCACAGCAGCCCAGGCTGCCCAGGGCCCCATCCAACCTGGCCTTGAACACCTCCAGGGATGGACGGGGCATCACAGCCTCTCTGGGCAGCTGTTCCAGCACCTCACCACTCTCTCTCTAAACAACTTCCCCCTGACATCCAACCTCCAGCTGCCCTCCCTCAACTCCAAACCATTTCCCCTTGTCCTGCTGCCATCTCCCTTTTCCAAGAGCTGACTCCCCTCCTGTCTGCAGGCTCCCTTGAGGCACTGCAGGCTGCACTGATGTCACCCCGCAGCTTCTCTTCTCCATGCTGAACAAGCCCAGCTCCCTCAGCCTGTCTTTGCAGGGAGATGCTGCAGCCCCTTGATCATCTTTGTGGCTCCTCTGCACCCTCTCCAACAGCTCCCTGTCTTTTCTTGTGTTGTGGACCCCAGATCTGGACACAGTACTCTAGATAGAGAGTAGAGAGGGAAAATCACCTCCCATTTCCATCTGACCACCCCTCTTCTGGTGAAGCCCAGGATCCCATTGACTTTCCAAGCATCTTGAACACACTGCTGGCTCATGTTCATCCATCAGGACCCCCAGGTCCTTCTCCACAGGGCTGCTCTCAAGCACCTCTCCTTCCAGTCTGTTTTGATGCCTGGGATTCCTCCGGCCCAAATGCCAAACCTTGCACTTTGCTGTGTTGAACCTCATCAGGTTCATCCTGGCTAAGATGTTGGCCAACTGCATTGCAGGAAGCATTCTGACTGTCTGGACTCATCCTTTTCCATCCACTGAGTATTTATGTTTGTAGACTGGTACAGTTAGGAAATTTACGTGTTTTCTCTCAGTTATCTGTGGTCTTGGTGGTTAGACATTAAATACAGGGTCTAGAGATTACAGAATCATCAGATATCACCAAGTGTAGGTACATAAATATGATTATTGAGTGGAAGCTGAGAGAGAAAAGGTTTGTTGGTTTTTTGTGTTTTTTTTTGGAATAGACAGTGTAATTCTTGGAGAAATAGGGTTACTGGACAGCAGTTCCAGTTGAATTTCATTCCACAGAGGTTATTATGTCCGTGCCCGTGCTGTAGATCACTGTGTTCAAGATTTCCTGCTGAAGACCAGAAGTCATCCTAGGAGACAGGTACGTTTCCATTGCCTGGCTGTGCTGGCAGCTTCTGCTGTATTTGTACATGAAACGTTTTTTAGCAGCTGTGGTGGTTTTCTCCCAAAATAGTGCAGAGGATCTACTTGGCAGTACTGGTTCTGCATTTGTTGCTGACAGAAATATCTATCTAGTATTTGCACAAGTTTTTCAACCTCTTTTGGGAGATTACCTGGTTTTGTTACTCTGCAGATTGTGCACCTGAACTGGAATGTTCTTCACAGGAAGATGCTCAGGATGCTGCTAGAGTATCACTTGTTTTCTGCCGATTTCTCTGCAGATCCTGTCTCTAGGTGCTGGCTTTGACTCCTTGTACTTCCGTTTGAAAGACATGGATCTTCTACATCACACTGTAATGTATGAGGTGGATTTCCCAAGTGTGGCGTGCCAAAAAGCTGCTCTGATCAAGAGGACGGAAGAGTTGTCAGCACTGGTGGGAGATGCTGGAGCAGAAGGGTTAGGTATGGTGTTTGTGGAAAATGTTCTGGATGCTGCATGTATGGAAGAAGGAAAAAAAAGCTTCAGCCTTTAAAAACTGAGTTGTTTTAGAGGAACTCGGAAGTGTGTGTGTGTAGTAAGAACGTGTGTGAGGTACGTGTTTATTTTGTGAAAAAAATCAGAACCGTTTGGAAGCATTGGGAGACAACAAGATGCAGAACTGCTCGGAAGTTTTTGAGGAGCAGATTACATCAAACAAAGCTCAGTGTATTTTGTGGCAACTTTTTAAGTATTGTGTCTAACTTTGGACTTACCAGTGCAAAGACTGCAGCCTGCGCTGTGATGGGTCGGGAGAATGAGAAAGGGCTGAAGCACAACATGTAGGTGGTAGAGCTGAGAGAACCTTCCTCAACTTGAAGAGAAGGATGAGTGGTGGGGAATAGTCTTACTGCAGTTTTTAACTACCCAGTGGAAAATTATAGTGAGGATGGAGCCAGGCTCTTTTTGGAGACAGTAGTGCTTGACTGTACAAAGCCTGGAGCAACCTGTTACAGGTAACCTTTGAAGTCACCTTTCCACCTAAATGATTCTGTGATTTATGATCTTTGTGGGTAGGGGAGAAGCTATTATTCTTAAGTATGCTGACTGCAATTGCAGCATTAGTCATTGTGTTTTATTGGCTTCTTTTAAACCTTCAGGAAGAGGAAAAATTGAGTCTTGTGAAAATATGGTAGAATCTAAGCACAGCTGAAGGGCTAGTTTTGCCAACTAAGCACTGAGTGGCAGTTCATTTGCAAAATGGAGGGATGTAAGGTATGGGGTTCACTAGGTGGTTCTCTTGCATCTGATCTCCTTCAAGGTTTACATTAATGTTGTAGTTGATAGGCTGTGGAAGGTGGAAATGTTATAATGCAATAGAAAATAGAGATAGTTGCAATGCGATAGATGGAATTAGGTTTTTGACAAAGTACAGGAAATCTGTGAAATGTGGGATGAAATACAATAGGGACATATTCAAGCCACTACGTTTTGACTGTAATCACAGAATTATGGGGCTGGAAGGACCTCCAGGGATCACTGAGTC